TCTGCTACTGGCTGCCCGGGTTTGGATCCCGGGCGTGCACCAATGCACCGCTTCTCTGGCCATGCTGAGGCCGCGTCCCACATACAGCAACTATAAGGATGTGCAACTATGACATACAACTATCTACTGGGGCTTTGGGGAAACAAAAAAAAGGAGGAGGATTGGCAATAGATGTTAGCTCAGAGCCGGTCTTCCTCACCAAAAAGAGGAGGATTAGCATGGATGTTAGCTCAGGTCTGATCTTCTTCACAAAAAAAAATAAATAAATAAATGATAATGCTTTGTTTTTTCTTAAATATTTGGGGGATAAATGATAGATAGTGCTTTAATACAAATTACCAGTTCAGATAACTTCTTAGTACCATAGTTATTTTTGTAGCTGACATAAATTCATATTTCAAACTCACAATATTTTTAGTATTTGTATATTTTAAAACGTAAGTGGTTTTACAAAGAAAATCCTATTTCATGTTGAATTTTAAATTTTAATCTGTAGTTTAAAAAATTTTTTTAACCCAATTTATTTATTTTGCCTTAGACTACAGTTATCTAACTGCTTATTCAATTTCTCTATTTGGATGTCTAATAAGCATTTTATGCTTAACATTTCCACAGTTGAACTTGTGACTCTCCCCTCCCTACAGGGCTTACTCCTTACCTGGTCTTCTCCTATATTAGTAAATGGCAGCTCCATTCTACCAGTTGTGTAGGCGAAAAACCCTGGAATCATCCTTGATTCCTCTCTTTCTATTTCATATTACGAAAGCCTCCTTACCGGTCTCACTGCCGCCATCATTATCCCAATCCAGTAGGTTCACTTCACAAAAGCCAGAGTCATTCTTCTAAAATATAAGTCAAATCACATCCCTCTGCCCAAGACCGCCCTCCTCTAGCTAGAGTCTGTCTAGGTTCTAGCTAGGAACAGCATATCGTGGTAAGAACTTCCCTTCCTATCAAGGAGTAGGTTGAGAATATGTTCCATAAACCCTCCTCTGCCATGGCTCAGACCACCACTTGCACTAAGCGGCATGCCTTTTTGCAGCAGAGGAGCACCCTGTCCGTCTTCCCACCATCTCTCGAAATGCAGGTACTCCTATGCTGTATAGAGATGGTAAATCCTTCAAATGCCCCCACCCCTATTCCAGGGACGGCCCCTAAGGCAGCAGAGAGGGAATGGGGGAAATTCCCACTGATGCCTGGTATACAGAGGCCTGGAAACAGGAACAACCGCAGTAGCCAGTGGCTTGAACTCAGAGCAGTTGACTGGTGAGCCCTGGCTATTAACCCTTTGCACTGACAGTTGGGCTGTTCTAAGGGGATTAACCCTATGACTTGGACAGTGGAAAGCCAAGGAGTGGATGATCACAAATAAACCCTTGTGGGGTCAGGATGCATGGAAAGACATTTGGGTTTGCCTGTAAGAGCCTCAGATAATAATCCTCACTGTCTTCTGTGTCCCGGCTCATGAGGCATTGACACCCACTGGCAATCAGGAAGCTGGTGCCCTAGCCGAGGTATGAGCTGTAGCAACTGACCCTTCAGTAGATACAGCAGATTGGGTGCATAGGAAGAGCAGCCGCTGTTGCACCTGAGTGGGATGGCATATTTCCAAGTATGCCACATTGCCCTTGAAATACAGTGCCTTGGTTAATGCAGTAACAGCATGCTGTCATGTGTGTTCTAAACCACACCCACGGCATCTGCCAAAGGAGTCTGGAGCCATTCACCAGAGTTCCCACCTGGTGAGAGATTGGCAAATTGATTATACTGGCCCCCTCCCTCCAAGTGAGGGTTCTAAATATGCCCTGGTTTGTGCGGACACTGCATCTGGCCTAACCCAAGTTTTCCCCCGTCACCGCACAAACCAGGCTGCCACCATTAGGAGATTAGAGAAGCTGAGTACCATGTATGAATACCCTCGTCAAATAGACAGTGATCGGGGGTCACATTTCAAAGGTCATGTTGTGCAAGACTGGGCTAAAGAAAGTGACATTGAATAGAGGTTCCATCTCCCGTATAACCTGCAGGCAGCAGGGTTCGTAGAAAGGAAAAATGGAATATGAAAGCAGCAGATTAAATTACTAACAGGTAAAACCACCTTGGCTGGCTAGACTCAAGTACTGTCCCAGGTTTTGAGGCATTTGAATGATCAACCAGCAGGGCCTGTTGCCCTATATGCCAGACTGAGGATCCCTGCCAAAAAAACTCAGTGCTGAAAAGGTATGGAAGTTGTGGGAACCAGCCAATGCCCCAACTCTTACTGTGGATCAATGTGCTGTGCTGCCGAGGACACCAAGCCCCATCACGCCTCGGAAAGGATTATCTACTGGAATTGGCAATGGGATGTTCCACTGGGATAGGTGAGTTACTTCATACCCCTGGGTGAGGCAGAACTACTCAATCTCCACTGGGATCCCATTGTCCTGCTGCAAGGTGGATCTGGAATGCATTTATCTGGAGTGAAACATGGTCCACTGAAAGAGGGGAGAAGGTGAAGATCTTGGTCTTGCATATCCCACCCCCAGTTCATCTCCTCATGCCTGATAGTGTGGCCTCCCATGGCCAAAATGTATGGTATGCACAACCAGGTCCAGTTCCGAAAGCTGCCAGCCTCCCTCTCCTAAAGGCAAGATGGGCAGTTCTGCTTTCTACTGGTACACTCATTTGGCCATCGTCTTTTTTTCCTCCATTGGCCTGGAGGATGTTATAGCACGTATACCAGCCCTTACTAAATTTACCCAATAAGCCTTAAGTGATAGCTGGCAAAGCCTCTCTTTACCAGATACTGAAATGTCTAATGAGAAAAGCTGTTTTCCAAAATAGAATGGCTTTGGACATTATTACTCCCTCACAAGGAGGCACCTGTGCCATCATCCAAACAGAATGTTGTGTGTTCATACCTGATGAGTCTGCTGATGTATCATCTTTATTAAATCACTTGAGGACACAAGTGAACCTGAGTGATCCAACCTCCAGGTTCGGGGACTTAGTAAACCAATGGTTTGGATCATGGGGCTCTTGGTGGATAAATTATTACTTATTTTGGGAGTCACCTTAGTCTGTTTTCTCTTGCGTGTGCCTGTATAGTTGCTGTGGTATCTGCCTCCAGTGTAGCCAGATAGCTGCCAAACAAGCCACCTCCATGCTGGTGAAAACCCTTGCTGACCGCTCAGGGCACATTGCGTGCAGAAGAGGGGGACATGTAAGATTGTAAGAGCCACTCATGAAAGGTGGAGTGTTGGAAGAGGTAATCAAGAAGACGTGACTGCCAGTTGACCCTCGAGCTGGACCTGGGCAATCTGAGGCTCCTCACTCCCTCCCTTGTCCTTGGAATGTACGCTCTGCCTACCATTCCCACAGGGGGAGCTATTCTGAGGACATAGCCTTGAGAGAGTAAGGTTTGTTGAGACCATCTGGACTGAACACGGGACTGAACCCAGTTAAGGCCTCTATATAAACTTTTAAGATTCTGGTGGGTGGATGTGGAGATCTATTCGTCTTGTGGCTGCCCAAGACAAGCCTCGTAAGTGAGTTCCCTCGCTCATTAAAACCACCGCTTATCTATCTGGAGTGGTCTGCCTCTTTCTTTAGTCTCTCCTTGCCGTCCATGTATAGCAACCAGTTTGCAAACTAACACAAGTCAAGTTGTGCCTCTTACTCTCTCCAGTGCATCCAAATTTGTGTTTTTTTGCTCCAGCGGTGTGCTGCAACTTCTCTTCTGGAAACCTGGACTTCTACAAGAGCCCTCTTGTCCATGGGTGATTATCTAAGCCATTTTCCAGGGGGTCTCGAATTGAGGCCGTGCGGGGCTAGAGCCAGTTCACAGGCTACTGTGGGGTCCACAGCCAAGACTGAGGGCTGTATGCCTGTTACCCAACACAAGTGGGTGAGAATCCTCTCAGGTCCCTTGGTTGGATCCCACAGCTCCCAGGGAGGCACTTTTGTCCATGAATGGGTGCCTACTTCTTGAGGGCAAAATGAGGGACGTGTTTTTCCGCTGCGAAACTGATGTTACTCCTCAAGGGTATGTTGAGTCTGCATTTCTTCGAGACTGTGCACTATTTTTCTCATGTATTTCTTCTTTGGGAATTACCTGACCATGTCCTTTGCCCATTTCTTCTTGGAGGTGATGGTGTTTTTTCCTTTTAAAATTCTTTATATATTGAGGCTATCAATTGTTTATAATAAATATGGCAAATAATGCTACTAGCTTGTGCCTTTCAATGTTGTTTATAGTACTTTTCTATGGTTTTTTTGTAGTCAGTATCATTCTTTGTGATATTTTCTTTTTTCATCGTTTGCATGATGATGTATATAAATTTACGACACATTTTATACATCTGCCACCAAAAGGATCAACTTTGGAAGAGACTAATTACTGGAAAAAGTGTTTCATTATAAAAATAGAGAATGAGTAACTATAGTTTTAAAAGTGCAAAAATAGTAAAATCCTGAAAGAGCCCTTTATAAGAGCAATGCAAATTATTTAATATACATCAGAGAATAAACTTCATAATTGTGCAATCTCTGTGCCACCGCAGCCCCCAAAATCTTGTATTGATCTATGTGGTCGGTTTGAGAGGCATCATAATGTGGAAATGAAAGAATCAGCAGGATGAAGTCCAAGAAGAACGAAGCCAGAGGGTTTTGTAGGACCCAGTGTGAAAAGGTAATATTTACAATAGGAATTATTTACACTGTTTAACCTTTCCCGAAAAATTAATGGGAGATTTTAAAGAAGTCTTTTTTTTTTAATGCAGAAATGCGCTTCAGTATTCCAACTGGGAGATGCTATATTTACGGGCATTTTAGACAAGATCACTCCAGTCATATAAAAGTTTAGTTTTATTATAGGCACTTGATGCAAACATTCAGTACTTTTTGCTACTTCTATAGTCTTTTAGCAAGACAGTCAGTTCTAGTCCAAATAAGAAAACATAAAAATTACACACTTTATTGGCAAAATCTAATTTGAATTATTTTATAAATTTCAAATGCAATTAAAACCATTATTTTACTCCATTTGATGATGATTCTTTCTGTTTCTTTCATTATAGTCTCTGAAGACTCAGAACGTGGTGGAATGATCTCCCACTGTGGCAGGAAATGTTAAATAGGTAACTCTACATAGTTTACTGAGTAAGCACTCGCTTTTTAACTTTGATTAAATGCCACATTTAACAAATATTAGAAAATGTTTAACAGCTCATATGGTCACAGTTCACTAGCGCTTTGCTCCAGCCTGGACGCTGACCAAGGTAAAATAGACGCCTTTCTGCGCCAGCAGCTGTTGGTGCGTGCCGTGCTCCTTGACTCTGCCGTTCTGAATCACCACTATCAAGTCTGCGTTCTGGATGGTGGACAGGCGGTGAGCGATCACGATGCAGGTGCGGCCTTCTCTGGCCTTGTCCAGAGCTTCTTGGACAACCTGTTCAATGATCACATAAATTGATTCTGATAAAAATAGTCCTCTCCATGACAAGCCTTCCAATTTCTCCAGCCATAGGTCCTTCTATAACAATGGTGTCAGTGACACATAATAGATTTTACAAAGGAAAGGATTTGTCATATCAGAATATTGAGTCCTAGTTTGGATTAATTCTGAGGCAGGAGTTATCTATTCTCAAAGTTGTGACAATAAATACCGTCCATCAAATCATCTAAAGACATTTACGGGTATGCCTAGCCACATAACATCCTTCAAAGCAGCCCTTTAGTGCAACTTTACAGCAAATGCAGAAGACTGAACAGAGGCCAAACACAGCCTCCTCGAATTTTGGGATTTTTAAGATAGGGTACATCTCAGAATTAGTTTGTCTTTCAGATAGCTAATACTCAACGTTTTCTTGAACTGAAAATGATTACTAATATTTATCTTAAGGTACAGTCAGCTTTTAACATTGTATTGCCCTCACTTTTTTATACAGTTGCTGAGAAGATGCTGCTGGTAGAAATGAGAAATAATGCCTCCTAAATGCAGCTTCTCAGGTCAATACACAGTGATCCAAGGCTGTTTCTGGGAGGACAGGTGCTTTACTTTGCCTTGCTTCATCTTAGGTCTCTTGAATCACAGCTACAGAAAGTGTTTCAATTCCACTGAAAGCTGACATAAGTAACAATCAACATATCTGGCTAAATTTTGTTCTCTACTGTGGAAGATAGAAGCATAAATTCAAACCTTTTTAGGACGACTGATTCAAGCCTGAATGAGTCCAATATAAATTCTTACCTTCTCACTTTCTGTATCCAGAGCTGATGTAGCTTCATCCAAAAGCAAAATCTGAGGCTGTCTCACAAGGGCACGAGCTATGGCAATGCGCTGTTTCTGGCCACCGGAGAGCTGAGTCCCTTTGTCTCCTACTCTGGTGTCATATTTCTGTCAATAGAGTTTTGTGATTATGAAAAGTAGAACTGATAATAAAGTTCTGAAAAAGAGCCTGCTTATAGAAAACAGGATAACCACTTTCATACACACGAAGAAAGTTCAGGTACAGAAGCTAAGAACAGGTTCATAGAGAGTTAAACAATAAGAACATAGCTCTAAATGGTAGATTTGATTTCTCTCCTTGAAAATAGACATTTGGGTCTTGAAAGTTCTGTTTTAGTGTAAGCAAGGCAACATTTTTATGAGGAAGAATATTGTTGCAATGTTAGTCTCTTCCAGTCTTCTGATTTCATTATATTTGGGACAAAGACTGGTAGGAGGAAGGAAATTTGATTTGAATAGGCTATGCTTAATAAAATAACTGAAGCTCATTTTATTGATAACCAGCCAGTGACGCTCTCTGCATTATTTTAAAGTGAGGAAGGGAAGAAATTCTTGGGATGCTAGCCTTTTGGTGTCTGTTTTTATAAAACTATCTCCAACACTTCAACAATTTTAATGGATGTTAAAGAATTCTATTTTGATATCTAACTTTAAAAGCTGAAATCTCTTTTATTATTTTTGTTCTTAGAGTGCTCCTGAAATTCTTCACATATTGTTTCCCACAGTACATAATTGGCACTAACTATTCAATATGATGATAGGGAGAGGATTTAAAAAGGTACGTTGGGGAGAACAGAAATGGGAGTGACAGACAGCATGTGTAACCTGGAAAACAATACTATCTTATGATTCTCAGGCCCTTGCCAGGAGGAAATTTTAGTCAAACTGGGCTCTGATTCTGGCACCCAGAGTTTGACTTTCAAATCATGTTCTAAGTAGGGTTACCTATTTTTATTTGCTGTTTCTGGCAACCCATGTTCTATGGCATCAGACACAGGTCTCCACCTGCAGATGGAGTGAGAAGACTGCAGGGGAGGTTCTGTCAGATGCTGGGGACAGGCTCCACCCCAGAGCTGCAGCTGCCTGGGCGGGGGAGCACTGCAGTGTGCCCAGGTGAGGTAGGGGTGCCAGGTTGCACTTATTAGTATGGATCCTGTTGAGGCAGTAAAGGCAGGGCTGTAACCCTGAAGGAAGGAGGTAACCAGAGCAGCCCCGTGCCAGGTGAGGTAAGTCCAGGTATGAATCACTCAGGCGAAGAAGTGGGTCCTTAGACAGCAGACAGGACTAAGGGGTTTGCCTTCGCTTTCCTCCTCTAGACACTGAGGAAAAGAATCACGACGTCTACAGGTGTGCTCTGTGTGACAGACGGAGCCCAGGAGCCCAGAAAGGTGGGGCTCCTGTGGTAGACAAATGCCAGAGGGGCAAGGTATATTTAATGACCTAGATAACAGTTACTCTGTGTGATTGTCTTTGGTAAGCCCTAGCCCAGTGGTTCTCAGACTTCAGCCAGCGTCAGTATCACCTGGGCTATTAAAACACAGATTGCCAGACTCCACGTCCAAAGTTTCTGACTCAGCAGGTCTGGGGTAGGGCCTGATATCTGCATTTCTCACACGTTCCCAGGTGATGCTGATGTGCTGGTCTATGCTTACCCTTTGAGAACACTCAACTCATCGTTAGTAAAGGGGTTTGCACTGTATGTTTTACATGTTCTAGCCTTGGGAATGGCCAATTATCCACAGTGGGGCTAGAAGGTTAAATTGAGGAGGGGAGTGTGACAGTGCCTCCTCCCTGGGGCCTATGATGTGGTGGCAGCAGTTATCCAAAGAGGAGCCTCAGGAAAAGGAAATCTTGGGAAGAGTGGGGGCCACCTGGTATTGCCATCCTTCCCCATGGGGAGATTGCCTTCCTCACCGGTCTGAGGCGACTGAGCTTTCTTTTTTAGGGGGCACTTCCTTACAATAAAGAACATAACTAATGATAATGGAGGCGGGTAGATACCAACCTAAGGGGCTTAAGAGAGGGCGAGAGGTTCCGTTTATCTAACTTCCTAGGAGGAATTCAGAGGACATCCACAGGATAACAGCCCAGGGAGCCGAGGGAAGGTTTCAGTAATCAACCCTGTAAGCAGAGCTTGGGGCCCATGAAATGTGCAATGGTGAGAGATTACACGACCCCATGGTCACTCAGTGACTCAGCCCT